GGCGGCGGTGGTGGCAGCGGCGGCGAGGCAGGCGCTTGTAGTGAAGCTGATGGTAATGGTCCTCAGTTGTCCTCATCATAGCAAAGCAGGTCACGACGAATTGCATGGTGACGAAACTGATGATTAACCATGACACGACGATGACGACGGCACCATGACCGCGACGAGAACCGATGAATGATGATGGCGATGATGGCGGCGATGATGGCCCGCGATCAAGATTGTAATCAGTGTCGTTACCCCGCTACAAGCCCAGATATCCTGCGGATGATAAGGGGGAGGAGGTTGCTGTTCACGGCCACAGCATCTCCAGTCCCCAGACACTGTCTTTTTGGTAATGCGCTTGTCCATCGGCAGTGTGACCAGAAAGGGCAGCCCCAACAGAATCATGCTACTCATGCTGACTCTTTCCAACAGGCGAACAATGCCTGGCAAAACTGAGGGGTATAATCTGTAGTTGTCTGCAGTGCACATGTTCCGTGAACTTTTTCCTCACGGCGGATGTAGAAATCCCTGACTTCCCGCTATGCTTTGCAAAGCTTTTCGCATCCGCAGGGTGCAGAAATCGCTCCATGCTCTTCTTCATTTTAGAGAAGCATCCCATGTAATTAAGTCGTCACCGGGTTTGCTGCGACGTCACACATGAGGACCTTTCGCGGTGACAGTCTGAACATGTGACTGCCGAATGGCTGCTCGATAACCCACATTAACCTGCCGCTCTGACATGAGCCTCCGGAAGGTGACCATAGTCTTCACGATGCAAGTCGAAAGCCGAACCGATCGGTACATCTGGTTCCCCCACGGCCTACGAGGGCTCCTCCGGTGAACCGATGACGACAGGAAGATGACAAGCGAACATGGGGGTCCTGCCACGATAACACCAGCGGGCTTGATCCTCAAACCGAGCCGCAACCAGTTCTCCAAGCCGCTCTTGCTGCAGATGTCGTGCTCCTGTCCCTATTTCTTGATGTCGTACCTCGGCTGTTGTTTGCTGCGCCGATTGCGTTGACGATTGGTGCGCTTACATCGACGCGCCAAGTGTGGAGTTGTAATGATGTCTTACAACTAAGATCCATATGTACCAAGAGACAGCTCTGCCCTTTTCTTGTGGCGACGCCAAGCAGCTTTAACTTGTCCTGAAGCGCCGAAGAGGTCGAGGCAAGACAATCTCGCACTCTCTTGTACTCGTTCGTCACACGGCGAAGTGCACTGACATGCCCCGATGCTTCATACCAGCATGCTTCGTTTGTAGCAGTGCTGATGTCATGCATCCCGCACTTTGTCTTTAGATGCGGCTGTATCACATGCGTTGAGCTGGGCTGCTTGCTCGCGGCCTTCACCATGGCGACAATGCAAAGCGTGCACTCGGAGACCCGTGAAAGATGTAATCAATCTTGACATGCCATCTGCCATGTCTGTTTGGTTGCTTCACTGCTGGCACTTTTCTTCTCCACCTCACCCTTTGCTGGTGGCGGAGACGCGACTGAAAATCGGTCAACACAAAAGACTCATAACTACACAAACGACACTAGAAAGAAGGACACTGGCGACACCGGAGAATGCTTACTGAGTCTGTGTCTGCGTGTGTCTGTGCATCTGGGTTGGGATTTGGGCCTTCAGACAAGCTGGATGGGAATGGCCAGTTACAAGCATGATTTGGGATGCAAGGCAGCTGGGTTCGGAATCCGAAAGAGAAGAAGGGAAAGGATAGTTATTTCATCGCTATTAATGGTTTGAGAGGCTCGCTCCTGCAAAGAACCTGCCACACACCCAAATCATCTTACGCACTAACGACCCAGCTCTGCACTGATTTTTTTGCACTCGCCTAACCTATTCAAGCTGTCGCACATGTGGGGTAACTCCGGCATCATCGTTTGATCGTCATCAAGCCCGCCTCCGACGAGGGAGATCTACTCACCATAGTCGATCTCCCCAGTGTTGTTGGGCCTGTTGTTGGTACCACCTCCACTTCCTCCACTCTCTGTTTTGCCGTGCTCGCAGCGCCGCCTCCACAGGCGGCCTGAAATACTGTAGAAATTGAAGCCCCGTCTGCAGCTCTGGATCTTCAGTTTGGGCTATAATTCGAAGTATGCGGTGGGCTCTTGAGTAAGTCCTCCTCGGATCATCATCAGCCTCCCAGAGCCTCTGCAATCCCCAAAGAACTGTGTGTCTGCGAGCGTCCGGATTCTCCCTGAGAATTCTGACCAGAAGGTCCATCAGCTGCTGGCACTGCTGCTCGCTCAGCGACTGCAATGACTTCACAAGTCGGTGGATGCACCACCTTCTCTCATCCGAGTGGCTCGACAGTGAGAATATTTCTTCCAGCCGGCCCAGCGTTGCCTCTGCAACGTCTGCTCGCACAAAAGGCAGGCCTTCTTCAGCGCATCTCCAAAGCAGAACATTCGCAGCATCAGCCACAGGCGCCTCCGCGCTCCTAGAGTGCAAAAACAGGCACCTCAGGTTTCTGGTAACAATGCGGTGGATGTGGCTTTCCCCGAACGGAGCTTTGCTTTTGCTTTCGTGGGCCAGGGCCGCACACCAACGCAAACCTCAGAATGAAGCATCTTTTTAATAATTGTCTTAAAGTTAGCGTGCTCGACCAACATGCCCCTGCCAAAACCACGGGCGTGCTCGCTCTGAATCATGCTCAACAAGTCAGGAGGCAATCGTACACCTCCTGCTGCTCGGCATCACCCCCAAAGGCTGCTGCCAAGGGTGTGTCCGGGTTGTTTCTGATCTCTGCCCGTTTCTCCATGAACGCCACAATGTTCTCTGGCCTGGACAGAATTCATCATCCGTCGTTTTGTTCTCGAAAGAAAGTGGATGCTTGCCGCTTCGGTGCGCCATGCCACGACTGCAGCTTGCAAAAAGATCGTCCGAGCCTGCGCATGCTGCCCATCTCGGCCACGTGCGCTATCAAGGCCTGGTAGCAGCACATGCATATCTTTAACGAAGCGGGCGGAGGAAGGCCAAAAACTGCAGGCCTCGTGGTTGCTGGTGCGTCGTGAAAGCAGGCGCCAGTTCAGTAACTCCGCTACCTGTGCTGCATAGCGAATCTTAAACAAAAGCAGACATCTTGCCAGCAACCCTTCTACTGGCCAACCAAGCCGCGCTCAGGTACGGCAAGAGGTTTGGCCTGAGGCTCGGCAAGACGATACGCTAGCCATGACCACTGCCATGCCTATTGTCAAGGCTGGTCGCGCAGACTCCGCGGCAGTGATCAACTGCTCCCCGACGGAAACGTTGGCATCGGCGTCCCTGGCCAATGCCTCAAGTCGAAGGTTCAAGCAGGTTCAAGGAAGCTGCAAGCCAGCGATGAGAGATAGAGGTTGCTCGAAAAAAAACTCACTGAAGCCCATGCACGGGGCTGGCATTGGCTGGATTATACTTATATACTGTATATACATGACTTCCAGCGTCGGTCTGAGGTTCAAGCCGGCAGATCGTCACCATGCTG